TGCGGATTCCCCATTGAAAGCTAGGCACCATGACCGTCAGAAGTCCACAGGAATAAACAATGCATCCTAGCGACTTCCTAGGGTAAGAAATCATCGCCAACTCGAATGCACTTTAGAAATGTGACTCGTTTCAACAGGGATTAGAGTTTTAAAATAAGCAGGCTCAAAGTTCTGAAATAATATATTAACTTGTGATGGGATTCCTGGCATCAGTGAAATTACTATTAAGGTACCAAAACTGTATCCCTCCATAACAACAACTCGATGCCAGACGTGAACCCCTCGGGCAAGACCTCTGACGCACGAGTGACGAGTTGCACGGAAAACAACCTTTAGGGGTGGGAAGAGGGCAGGACTCGCAGGTTGGATCCACCGCGGCTGTCGCCAAGACCAACACTCATATTTTAAATTCCCTTGAAGCGAGAGGCTCAGGCAGAGGCAGCTCCGGGGCCCCACACTCCCAGGGACCCCGCCTTGGTGAGGTCGCAGGGTGCACGAAGGACCCTCCACTGCGCCCCGTGCGCTCGCGGCCCGGCTCCTCCCAGCCCCAGGCGACCTTGTCCGGGTCTCTGCTGGCTGCATGGACCGAGGGAAGCCCCTCGGCGCAGCTCACCTGGCGCTCCCCGAAGAGATCCAGGAGGCGGCCCTGAGGCTTGGCATTGAAGGCGGCGCCCACCGGGGACCAGCTGGTGCTGACCCTTCGGGCTCGGATCCCAGCTCGGCTGCTAGCTCGGCCTGCTAGCCTCGGCCGCAGAGCCGCTAGCCCGGCTCCAAAGCCGCCCAGCCTTCGGGCGCACAGCATCTTGTCCCGCGGTAGCCTCTATCCCAGCCCCGAGGTCGGAGCCCCCCGGCCCCTGCACGAGCGGAAGCACGCGCTCTGCGTTTCCTAGGCAGCACGCCACACGCATCACGTGACGCCCGGGCTTCCGGGTCGCACGAGTACGTCGATATCCCGAGGACAAGAGCGGCGCCCTGCCGCCTTCTCCGCAACCGCTCAGGTCTAGCGTCCCCGTGCGTCGAGAGTAAGGAAGGGCTAGAGTTTGCTCCTGTCCTCGCGTGACTAGAGCCACAGGAAGCCTTGGTAATCTACTCAAAACAGGGAAGAATCACGCAGAGAGAACGCAGCAATGTGTGCTGGGTGCGACGTAACCAGTGACCGAATCTTCAGGGTGGCTCAGGAGAAAGCACACGCGGTGGAAAGGACGTATCCTCAGAGCCACCCTAGGGACTAGGGACGGGCTGTGAGCGAAGGTCAGAGGGCAGGTTACCTGCACCTGCAGGACGGAGCCCCGCCATTCTTCGCCTGCGGGGACCTGCAAAACTGTAGTAACCTGCGATATAAATGGGGAGAGGCGGGATTTTCAGGACCCAAGCAACCGTGCAGGAAGGGGAGGCCCTGGGGTCGGCACCGCTGTCCCAGGACGCTGCACAGCCGTGCAAGCTCACGGGAGCCTTTTTATTCCAGAGTGAGCTACAGTGGCGTGCTTCTAAAAGGAGCCTCACTGTGGCCCTGCGGAGCTCTATCGCAGACCAAAGGTCTCATCCCGGGTACACTGCGCTGGTGGCTTGCGCAGAGCGAGTCCGACTCTAGGTCGCAGGGGCGGAGGCCTCGGAGCCCCGCAGACAGCTCCATAAGGCCTCCTAGAGCGCTCCGGTAGAGGGGAAGAACCAACTGACAGTGATGATAAATAACCACTGGAGTGTAAGAATATGACCATCGTGCACATGGAGAATTTTTTTAAAAAAGTAATTTATTACTCTGTATATTATGGTCAACTATAATTCAATTCATTTCTATTTTAAATCCCTAAATTCATGCTGATTATGCATTATTTAGAACTGAGTTGTTCCTGGGCCTTTTCCTGGAAATCACCTGGCTGGTCATGCAGACCCCACGGAGTGGGCTCCCTGTGCAGAGGGATGGCAAAGGTACTGTGTAGGACAAAAGGAGAAAAACTCAACGAGCCAGCCCCAAATGCTCATCTTCTAAAAAAAAAAAAAAAAAAAAGAAAGAAAAGAAAAGAAAAAAGAAAAAAGAACCTCAAATCTAAGGGCCCTTCTTTACCACAAAGTGGATGGTGTGCCAGGTATCTAACTACTTAGAATGCAGCACCAAGCTTACAAACCTCCCTCTACCCCCGAATAATATAATACCTAGGACTAAGTTGCAGACATAGTGAGACTTTCAAAAAAACGTTCCAGTTTTACAACCACTGAAAAATAATCCCAAGTCCTTTGAAAAGTGTTCTCTCTCTCTCTCTCTCTCTCTCTCTCTCTCTCTCTCTCTCTCTCTCTTTCTCTCTCTTCCACAAAAGAACTTTATAAAGTCTTGTTGCTCGTGTCCAGGTCATTTTTTTTTTTTTAACATCTCCCTGTAGGCCCACAGCAAGCCAGCATTTACACTGGGAAAACACCCTGGGCTGCTACAAATCAGAGAAGCCAAATAGTAAGGATGTTCCCGCTCCTGAAATACAGTGGTCCTTCTGCTACCAGGGCCAGGCCGACTGGGAAATTTAAGGAGGCCCCACTCTTGTGCATGCTGGGCTGGGTGTAAGAGCAATGCCTCCTTAAACTTTTCCTCTCTGCTTCCCTCACTTTACCTTGTCCTGGCTCTTGTTCCCATGAAATATAGCTTAAAGAAGGCCAATAAATGCCTGTAAGAGGACATGATCCCGAGCTCTGTATAGTTTCCAATGCTGCAACCACCAAGTGCAGTTGCTCTCTGTTATCCACAGTGAATTGGTCCCAGCATCCCCCTTGGTGCCAAAACTTGAGGATGCCCAAGTACCTGTGTAAAACAGCAAAAGATTTGAGTAGCACCCCCATACGTCCCTGTGTACCTCCAATCATGTCTAGATTACTTAGGAGAGCAATACAACAAAATGATGTGAAAATTAGTTGTACTATATTATTTAAGGAATCATGAGAAAAAAATCTGTACATGTTCCATGCAGACAAGTTGTTTTCCAGACATTTTTGAACGGTGGCTAACGCTGCAGATGTGGAACCCACAGCTACAGTGTCAACTGCCATTTTTAAACATTTCACCTATAGCCATACTTAGGATGATTAGTCAGAAAAACCCCACCTTCCCAGGGTAGCTTCAGCTGTGTTGATTTGTTGGCGCGTGGCTCGCATTACTGTAAATCCCGGGGCTTCAGGGACAGCCCCAGTCTCAAGGAGCTAAGTTCTGTCTGTCAACAGCTTTCCATTAAAGTGTAGAAAATGCTGTAGCTTAAACATACACTGGCCTTGAGTCTTTTCTTATGTTAGTATCAGGAGAAAGGGGTTCTCTTGGCTCATGGGTTATATGTTCTTGCCTGTGTCTGGCTGGACTCATTACTTTGACAGCTGTGACAAAGCAGCACGTCATAGCCGGAGCTCAAGAGGCGGCAGAGCTGCTCAGCTCCTAGCCTGGAAGAGAAGAGCAAAGTTGGGTCCTTTGCTTCTTGGTCAGTTAGCACTCAGTGTTGCCACCTGGATTCAGAAACAAATTCTAGGCCACACATTCTAGGAGTTACAGTCACTGTAGGAACCGTAATACCGATGGATAGTCTCCTATCACCGCCTGGCACCTGTAGAGGCGCGGAGAAGAGAGAAACTGCCTGAGGAAGCTCTGTGAGCA